AAAAAAAAAGAGGTAAATAACTGCACAATTGAGGAGAGTCAATAATTTACATAAAAATTTACATATATAAAAAAGGTTAATGGTTATATGGTTACTAGTGTTGATTTTTTTGTTGTTGAATTATGTTTATTTTATTTTATTTTTTAAAGAAAAAAATGTTAAAAACCATTGTCATTATAACCTTAATGGCCTGCTTTGCCGTTTTTTTTTTACAAGCAAATTCCAGTTCTAATAAAAAAGTCATAATCTGGTCTTAAAGGACTTAAATAAGGTAAATACAACTTCAGATGAACAAAAATGTGATATATCACATGATACTTATTTTAAAATATTAGCTGAAAAAGTTGTGTTATTGCAATAGCAACACCTCGATTCTTTTCAGCCGTCCTGTTTTAGATTTGCTGTTGAGTTTGGGATTATTTTCCTGTTAGTTTGTTCAGTTTTGGCCAAGCTTTAGCTGTTGGACAGATGACTTCACCTTTGACTCTACAATACTCTGGTATTCAGACAAGCCTATGGATTACTCAGTGACTACAAAGTGCCTGGGTCTTGTGGCTACAAAGCACTATGAGGTGTTTTTGCTGTGTATTGTGCATTATTGTCACATATCTTCACTTTGGTCTCATCTGTCCAAGCAACATTTTTCCAGAGGTTTGGTGGTTTGTTCAGCAGCTAAAGCTAAAACATACTGCAATGTTCTTTTTCCTGTTAGTGTTTTTTCTGGTGACTCTTTCAAAGCTAAATATTCAGTTTTGTTTTTTAATTTTACATTTATGAACTGAAAACAAGAACTCTGAGATTTAGCCCTTGGAGTTTCTCTGTGCACTGTATTGCAGTTCTGTAGCAGAAGTTATTATTAAGAAATTATTATCATTATTATTATTATTAACCTAATAATATATATAATTTTAATCAAAATGACCAATTTCCTTTCTTTAATAAACCACACAAAAAAAAAATACAACAAGTTGACTGCACGGACTACTTTTGTCATTTGCTTTTCTTCAACAAAATGACTGATATTCTGCAGTGCCTTTACTGTAGACACTAAAGATGACTTTCTGCCTTAAGTCGTGTTTTTTAAGTCACTGAAAAGCATGCTCTACTTGGTTGAGATCAGGTGACCTATTTACCTAAACAGTATCCTGTGTCTTTACTTTGAGAAACTATTGGGTTAAGTGCTGTCCAAACAGATCTGCAACATTTTGCTGAATCTGAGCAGTGTAGCTATTCCCCCTGCTACTCGTCTCAGCATGCCCATGCCACCATATTGCCTCCACCATGTTTAAAACACGATGTGGTGTATATCAGGTCATGCGCTGTTCTTTTCTTTCTCCATACCATTCCCATCATTCTTTTATAAGCCAATCTTGATTTTATCTGTCCAAAGATTTTTTTTCAAGAACCGTGCAGGCTCTTTTAGTTATATTTTTTAGTAAAGTATCCTCTTGAGTGTGACCAGTGTTTTGCACCTTGTAAACCTTCTGTATTTACATGCATCAAGGTGTTAGTTTGACAATGACATGCCAACCTTCTTAAGAGTGCTCTTGATGTTGTGGAGGGGTTTTACTTAACCAAGGAAGGATTACTGTAGTTTTCCATGACACTTATTGCTGCTGAAGTGCATTCATCATTTGTTTACATTTTTGGTGATTTGGCCACTTTTAACATGTTTTCTAAATGAAGAGCTAATAAATAGAACTTCAACACTAAAGAATAAACTCCAGATCTCCATCTGTTAATTTTTTGTAAAATAATAAAGATCTAAACTGTTAGGGATTTACACTGAACAAAAATATAAATGCAACACTTTTGTTTTTGCTCCCATTTTCCATGAGCTGAACTTAAAGATCTGAAACATTTTCTACAAACACAAAGGAGCCATGACTGTCAAATATAGTTCAAAAATCTGTCTAAATCTGTGTGAGTGAGAGCTTCTCGTTTGCCGAGTTCATCCATCCCACCTCACAGGTGTGGCATGTCAAGGTGCTGATTGGACAGCATGAATATCGCACAGGTGTGCCTGAGACTGCCCACAATAAAAGCCCACTCTGAAATAT